AATGCACCTCTGAATTGTTCAACTTATTACAAGTTTTAAAATTAAAAACAATAACCTTTTTCAAAAGATAGTCATAATTACTCTATGAAGAACTACAGAAAAATCACCATAGATCAACTAAATTCAAAAGAAGAAAGAGAAAGAGAGAAAGGAAAATGTGAAGAAAGTATCTTGGCTTTCACAACACACAGAATCAGAGAACAAGAAAGAGGCAGCAATCGGAGTATTTAGAACCAGCACTGAGAGACACGCACAGGGATAGGAAGGAGGAGACTGCTGTGTGGCCACAAAGCTGCATTCTAAGGGCTGCTTCCTCTGCACCCATGTGAAACCAGTCTGAAGAGCATGAGGTACATTAAACTCAGGAACAGTGTTCCAGAAACGGAAGAACTAAAGAAAGAAGGGAGAAAATCTCAATACAAAGAAAAGAAACATCAGTAAGTTTTAATAGAAAAAGGGGAAGGAACCTCGACACTGACTTAGAGAGGGGATCTCTGCAGTCCTACACTTTTTGATCTGTACATTCAGTATTCACTGAAGGCAAGGAATACCAAGATAAGACTCTGCTAAAGAACTACATAAGAGGATACAAATATCATAGTACACTGTATTTCAAACGATGCCCTTAAGTTTACCCAGGACAGTATAAAAGCAGTTCATCTAGAAGGTGACATTTGGAATGGATATTCAGGATGGCTAAATACTCTCAAAGGGGGAAAAGGCCATGGGAGTGAAGACAGGATTGATGAGGCATTTCCAGAAAGAGAGAGATGTTGTTTTCTTTCCTCCATTTTTTGTTTGCATCTTTACCAGGTAAAACACCAATACAGGACAGCCGTGAAATCATCTTGTGATAGTCCCTCCTCCACTGTAAGCTGCAAGCGTGACAGTGCATTATAAGTTAAAATGACTGATTTTTCTCCCCTTGGGAACTACTACTGAGAAAAGGAAATTGATTCTTAATTGTAAACTGCTTCAATCTGGATCTCAATGTAATAATACATTGTCTTTTGTTTGTGGGTAGAAGGTTGGGAATTCAATTAAATACCTGCATAGCCTGCCATCGTGGCAAGGGGAGACATATGAAAAGTACAATACTGCAAGTTCAGCTCAACGACAGCCTGGATAACTTCACTTTTAAACCTGAGGAAGCAACATCTCCATGTAATAGATTACTAAAGATGTAAATGCTTCTGAAGAAGGATGTCAATAAGATATCTGAAAATTTTGCTAGCAGAATTGGACTGCATCAGGTATATCTGTACTAATGGCTGGGACTTATCACAATGAAAAGATGGGAATGGGAGAGGGAATTTGTTTAGGGGTTTCTATTTTCTGTATAGAAGACAGCTCTAGCCAACACTGACTTTATAAGAAAAACTGCATTTGTAGAATGAGATATTTAGAAAGGGTCATCTTAAATGGTATAGATTTAAGAATGGTATTATTTGGTGTACTTTTTTTTTTTCAAGAGATTTTTGCTATAGGGCATGTGTGCTCGCTCTCCAGAGAGAGAATGAGAAAGCAAGAAATTGCCCCTGGGGGGATGGCCACATCACAGTCCATTTTCCTCCATTCTCCTCCTAGGATCTTGGGCACATAGGCACACGTGACCAGCATGGGCTCTAAGCCACCAGGTCCGGACTCGAATTGTGGCTGACCATGTGGGAGTCCAGCAACGTAACCATTACACCATCTGCTGGTCCAAGTACTTATTTAATCCGAGTCAGTACCCATGATGATGGTACGGTATAGCCAGACACACAGCTGGGAGACTTCGTTCAGTGTTCCTCAACCTGTAGCAAGGAAGCAGCTACATCACAATTCACCTGATTCTGACCCCATTCTTTCAGAGAGTGATTCAGAATCGTGGAATAATGATAACCACTTTAGACCTGAGTTTTTAAAGATATTATCCAGAGTGAATAACATAGTTTATTTCTAAAAACTACTATTACTGACTTTTGTTACACTGATCAATATTAACAATCACACTATAATTTGATTTAATTAAGACAGCTATGTAATTCTCAAAAGACCAAATATGGGGGAAAAAAAACGGAGGGGGGACTTCAAGACCCTTTTATTAAAAAAAAAATAGTCATTCTGGGACCAGTAGATGGCGCAATGGTTACATCGCTGGAATCCTACCTGGTTGACCACGGTTCAAGTCCCAGACCCAGTAGCTTGAAACTCATGCTGAGCACATTGTGTGTGTGACTAAAATCCCAGAGGAAAATGGAGAGGGAATTGCAGCATGACCATCCCCCCTAGGGTGTCATTTCTCACTTTCTTTCTGTCCTTCTGTCTCTTTGGCAAGCATATGCACCCTATAGCAAAAATCTCTCTTAAAAAAAGTTACTCTGGGGCCAAAAGGTGACATGGTGGTTAAGACACGACTCTCAGGTGGTCAGCCGCCATTCAAGTCCCAGACCCAGCAGTTGGAAAATCACGCTGGGTACATGTGCATGGGTGCCTGATCCGGAGAACAGAATGGAGGCGAAGGGATTGTGGCATGGTCATTTTCCCAGGGTAGGAGGGCAGGGAGGGTGATTTCTCACTTTCCTTCTCACTGTCTCTCTTTGGAGAGTGCAACCACTATACACTATAGCAACAAATCTAAAAAACAAAAAAAGTATAGACTACCCAAAGGATTTTTTTTTTTTTTTTGGAGAGGTTTTCGCTACAGGGCACATGCGCTCGCCAGACAGAGAGAGACATAGAGACAGAAAGCGAGAAATCACCCCCCAGAGGGCATGGTCACGCCGCAACGCCGCAATCCCTTCTCCTCCATTCTCCTCTTGGGATCTGGGGCATGCACGTACACGCGCTTGGCGAGAGTTTTAAGCCCCCGGGTCTGGGACGCGAACCGTGGTTAACTACGTGGGAGTCCAGCGACGTAGTCATTATGCTAACTGCTGGTTCCCCCAAAGGTTTTTAAAATGGTCATTTAAATGATATCCTTTTATGGCGAGATCCTTTAGGGAATACCATTTACTAGGATTTCAGAATTGCTCATTTCTCATACCCTTTCTCTGGTATGGGAAGCACACGTTTTACCATAATCCTGTAGTCCTAACCCCAAGCACCCACACATACATATGAGCACTAGACACAAATCATTGTCCTAAATATCTTACAGGATTCCAATAAAAAGTGATCAAAAGGAATAAATAACAAATTGGACCTTTGTTAGAGTAACTCCTGTACAGATACAAACTAGTGAGTTCATCTATTATATGGGATGTATAATTAACAGAATTTATTTTGACAATAAAGAATTATTACTACAGGACAGCTGGCTAGACAGAAAAATAATCTAAATACATTAACCCAGATATTATCATGGTATCCACTGAGCCAAAACTGCGTGCGTGTGCGTGTGTGTGTGTGTACACATACATATATACATAGATAACTTAAGGCTTATAATGCAAGATACTTACTACTATTAATAATGTAGCTTGGAATCATTTTACCTTTTAAAATTGCTGCTGAAATTCCAATGGTAGCACAGAATAGGGGAAAAAAGCAAAGGCATTAAAGAGTTACATGGAATAACTCGCCTAAGTTTAATGTGCCTAAATGAATTTATGTAGGAAAGAAGATACGAGTTTAGAAAAACGGCCCAGAAAAAGAAATCAGGGACATAGGAGGATTAAGAAGATTAAAAAGCCTTTGTATTCTGTTTCCATCTGTACATCCTTTCTACATATAGCCTGCTCACTTATGCCAATGCTCTTAAATAGTTAACATTTCAAAGACTTTCAAAGAATAAAATAAGAAGTTAAGATAAAAACGATTAGGCTAGTATCGGATTATCACCAAACTTGTTTTAAAAATACGCCCGACATTTTAGTTACACTAAATTGAATAGATTTCTTACACATCTATCAAACACCCCAGGGACATAACCACCTAGTACAAACTGCACAGCTTTCCGCACTTACAGGGACAAGGAGGTATGGCTCTCTCTACTGGCATCTCCAGCAGATAACAGACTGCTGTCACAGCAGGACCATGCCCTGCATCTGGTGGCCCACCTCCCTCATTTCCCCCTGGCCCTGGGCGTGCAACTATAAAAGAACACTAGTACGACCTTGCATTTATACCAGTAGTTTGGGTTTCACAGCACTTTCAAAGTACAGGTTGAGCATCCCTAATCTGAAAACTGGACATCTAAAATACTCCAAGATGCTTTCAGAGAGCCAACATTATGCTGTAAGTAGAAAATTCCACACCTAACCTCACGTGACAAGGAACAGTCAAAGCTCTGCGATATGAAACATTGTGCAAAATAGCTTGTTATGAATATCTAAATATCAAAAAATCCAAAAGGATTAAAATTTTAAACACTTTGTTCCATGCATTTTTGGTAAGGGATACCCAACCTGGATTAACAAATATTTCGGCTTAAGAAAGACAATATACCCATTGAATTTAAGGCGTGTCATCTTGCTTTGTAGACAGCCATTTTAAAATTCTTATAACTTATAAATATCCATGTGATACAGATCTCGGTGGGGGAGAAGCTGCTAGATTTTATTGCCTTCACCAAGAGAGTAGTCATTCAAGTACAGGAGACTTGCTAAGACCCACTGCTACCATGCTGTACACAATACCATCGTATACAATGTCTTATCCTTATAAAAGAAATGTAATATGTAATATCAGTAGAAAATGACTGGTGAACATTTCTGGACGTTTAAATGACTTTCTTGATGAAGACTCTTGTATTTTTATCAACTGGATAGGAACATAGCAAAAATAATAAATTAAATATAAAAATATAATGCTAAAATACATTTTAACTCAGCAAACAAACCAAAATAAATGTTTTATTACCCTGATTTCTAAAACAAAACTATTTTGAGATCATCTTCTAAAAATGTTACTGGTTTTACCAGTAAAAACAGTTTTTAAAAAATTGTAACTCATTTTTATCACCAAATAAAATGAATGCTAAGTGGTATGAAAGCCAGATGGTTCTGTCCCCTTACCGCGATCTTTTGCTTTATCAGAAAGGAGGACTTCCACCTCCTCGTACTCCCGCAGGGCCTCCAGGATGATGCTTCCTTCTTTGCTGAACAAGAACAGCATGGGGATCTTGATGTCATCAGTGTCCTTTCCATCACCCGCCATCTGGAACAGAGGGGCAGTATCACTGCTGCTCCCCTCATTGTCATCTGGCCAGAAAACGAATACAGCAACATCAAAACATCTGTCCATTAGAAAGAGCTGTCTTCCAACTGTTAGTTTTTCACTTGCTTGTTAGAATGACCTTATGAATCAAGAATCATAAAAACAAATACAACTTTCAGACTCACTAATTCTCCTAGAAATGTATCCTAAGGAAATGAATAAATAAAAAACTCCACATCCAAAGAACTTTACAAAAGTGCTATTTTTAATTGTGAACAACTGTAAACCATCATGGGCACGCCGTAACGAACTCCCTGAGGTACCACGCGGAAAAACAGAATGACATAGTAATACATGAAAAAAGTAGAAGACAAAATTCTGTCATTTTTAACTGCACACATTTTACATGTTCATCCAAAAGCCTAGAAATGCAACAATTTAATGATATGAATTACAAGTGATAGAGCCATGCATGATTTTTTGTTGTTTAAGCACTCCTCTAATGGTATTACTATATTATACTGTTTTAACAAACTACAAACTGATAGCTCTTTTTAATATATGCTCACAAAAACAAATTATGACTGTAGTGGTTTTTCCCCTGCAAGATGAATGAAGCAGAATTGTTATTTTATACTCATGAAATAACTACAGTAAAACTATTAGACACTATTTTATAGGAGATGCCAGTCATGTCTACCCTCAATCACACACGCCAGCCTCCCTGAAGAAACCCCTGTCCTCTCACAGGGCTTGCTCTCAGCAGCCCTGCTACGTGGAAAATTCACTGGACAAAGATGGCTACCCGACCCTCCGCTTCCCTGCGGGACCCGGAACTTGCACACAGAAAGGCTGGTTGAGTAAGCGGTGGACAGTCCAATTAAGTGACACAGACGCAGAGCTGAGGATGCAATTTAGAATGCCCATTTTGAAACTGAGGAACAAAGGGGGAGCAGGTGAGGGAGAAGCTCAAGAAAGAGACAGAATTGGAAAGAGGAGAGAATCCAAAGGACCCAGAGATAGAGACAGAGAGAAATGTGAAAAATGTTAGCTGTAATAGTTCTTGAAGATTTTTAGTTCCTCCTATGAATCCCTTTTACTGCCTATGAATCCCAGTTGTATTTCTTACTCTTGGTTCAGTGAAAAGAATCCACTTCCATATAGTGAATAAACTTTACTTCTTAAGCAAACTTACATAAATTAGCTCTTGTAGCCAAATGATTTATAAGATAACATATACTTCTAGTTCTTACAATAAAACGAACTAAATCCAGGGCCAGCCATCAGCTTAATGGTTAAAGGAGCCAGACCTGGAAGACCATGGTTGGAATACCAGTCCTGCTAGCTTGAAAAACACACCTGGCATGTGTGCTTGCCCTAAATCCTGACAAAATGGAGAGAGGACTGTGGCAGGACCGTGCCTCACTGGGGAGGGAGGGGTTGCCTTCTCCCTCTCCCTATCTCTCTCTCTTTGGGTGAGCACATACATCCTCTGCCAATTAAGAAAAAAAAAAATCCTAAATCCTAATCTACTCATTTCCATATAAATAAAATCAGTGAAAAACAAAACAAACAAAAAACAAAATTCTTTGTCAGAAACAAAAAAAGCCTTAGGAAAATAGTTGTAACACAAGAAAGTATCTCTTTAAAAATTAAATTTTTTGGTGACCAGCAGGTGGTGTAGTGGTTAAGAACACTGGACTCGCACATGGCTGACCGCAGTTCAAGTCACGGACCTGCAGCTTTCTCTCTCTCTCTCTCTCTCTTTCTCTCTCTGATCAAATTAAAATAAATAAAATAAATACAGTTCAATAAAATAATTCTTTAAAAAATTTTTTTAATTACATTTTCTGAGAATAGGAATCATTGTCTCTTACTCATTTATCCATTGAACCCAGGATAGGATTCTGCAACTAACAACTACTAAAGAAAACATTTCACTTGATTACCCTTTCATATTCTAGAATATCATGAAAACAAGACTTTGAAAAATAGGCAAAATCTAAAATACTACACATAAAAAGATTTTTTAAAATATCAATGCACATACATTTTCAGATTTTATATTTCCATCTTTAAGTTTTGTTAAATAAGAGATGTTCATGAGAGTATTGATAGTCAGATATTAAATTCTTCATAAAAATAATATCAGTGTGGAAAACAACCAGACAAAGAGGATGTTAATTTAAATGAGGGTCAGCGAACTCTTTTTGTAACCGGCTAGATAGTGAATATTTTAGGCTCTGCAATTCTTTGATATAACCAATCAACTCTACCACCCTAGCTTAAACAACATGCAAATGAACCTGTGTGGCTGAGTCCCAATAAAACTTTTATTTACAAAAACAGTCAATATACTGGATTCGACTTACAATCTTCAGTTTGCCAACTGCTGATTTAAGTTACTAAATAGAATTTCTCTTAAAGACTTAAATCATTAAATTTGTATATTCGTTAAATCAACATTGGATGCCCTTATGAGACAAACGAAAAGAACAGTAACTAATTTTTGCTGCGATAAATCCTAATACAAGTTGAGCATCCTTAATCTAGAAATCCCAAATTCTCTAAAACCCAACTTTGTGAACACTGTCATGACACCGCGAGTATAAAATCCCACACCTGATCTCATGTCACAGATGGCAGTGAAAATGCCGTGCATAATACACAATTTATTCATTGTCCCCAAGGGAAACAATACACTCCCAGCCCCTTCATCTGCAATGTGTCTTTTCCTAGTATGCCCAGGTTCCCCCACAAAACCACACCCATAAAAGGTAATAAAAAGCCTGTGGTAGGCTGACGCACCAATGGCAAGTTCCTCTCAATGCCCCACATAGGGCCAACACCTATTTGCATTTCTCACTGTGTTTTTCTGCTTTTTCTCTGCTCTCTGGTCTAAAGATGTTGAAAAAGTCAAAAAGGCCTGCAAATACCACTATGAGTAACTGTGATTAGACACCTTTGCTGATGGTTCAATGTATACAAACTTACATGCACAAAATTATCAAAAATACCACATAAAATTACCTTCAGGCCATGTATATAGCCTTTATATATACCTCATATATAAAACACCCAAGATTTCTCATTACGTATATGTAAATATTTCAAAATGTGAAAAATTCTGAAATGTGAAACATTTCTGGTCTCAATCATTTTGGATACGGGATACTCAACCTGTATTTTATTTTAAATGAGTTTTTACTCATGCTGTCCTCAGAAAGGAAATCTATCCTAATTAGAAAATTTGAGGGAAAAAAAATAGAAGAAAAATGAAAAGAAATCCAAAATGAATTTTCCCCATGTGAGAAGATAAACAGAAGAAGTCATAATTAGGTAGTGACACCCCAGGGCTTCTAGTTCTGAGTATCAACTCCTATTTACTACAACAGATAAATGTGTATTTCCCCTGAGAGTCACGGATTACTTGCCACAATTTCAGTGATTCTGTATGACAGATAAAAGCAAACCCCACTGGTTAAAATAGCTGGGTAAAATAATATAAGGTTGGTAATTTGTAATTACAGTGGGAAAGGTCCAGTGGTTGGTTAAAGAAAACAAAACTGCTATCAACTAGTCATTGTACCCATGTCTTCTTTTATGGTAAGAAATGGAATATATATATACATATACACACAAATACGCACACATATATAAGCTTTAAACCTTGCACCTATGTAAAAGATGGTCATTATCACTTTCACTGAAGCTCAAAAAATATTCTACTTAATAATCAGGTAAGAAAACTGAAGTTGGTCAAGGTCACACTGTGATTTTGTGACAGAGCAAAGATCTCTACCCTCAGGTGTCTGCTTCCATAGGCTGCATCTCTGGGAGGAATGAATGTTTTCAGTGGCTCCCCCTTGAGGTGGCACAGTGCAGTCCCTGCCCTTTTGTGGCTTTGGATAGCATCAGCACATTTTCTTAGCCACAATATTGAGTGTTTTGACCACTTATTCCTACTCCATTCTCACATCTCACCCCTAATACTTCCACATTAATATTCAGAAACCCAAACCTACGTATTTAAAAGAGATCAGATATACAGAAGTTGTTAGGAGTCACTGGACTACTTATACTTTATATGGTCTAAGAGAACAATAATATGACAAATCTTGGATAAAATTTTAGAAAATAAAAGGAAAAATCCTAAAAACGATCTCGTCAATACAATGGGATGGAGGTTACTCACCGATAACAATGCCACCAATGGCTCCAGCATTCTGGATATTACGTGCCTTCTCTGCAAACATGCACTGTCCTCTCTGTATCAATGCAATTTTTCCCACCACTGCCTCGGGGTTAGTAAGCTCCGAACAACCATTGTATGGTTTACTGCTTGCCACAAATCCTCTGGTCTGTCAAAAATAAAAGTAATTTAAGGATCCTTTTATCTTCTCAAATTGCAACCTAGTGATTAAACTTCATTACATAGAGCTTTAAGGGAACCAGAACTAATTTATTGTCTAAAGATAACACATCCAATATCTATTCAGCATAAAGTCTTTGTTTTAAACATTTTGTATATCATAGTACCCAATATATTGTGCTTTATAGTTGATGAAGGAATTTAAAAGAAATTAGTAAACCTGATCTTTACAATGAGTCCAAGTGAAACAAGTAATATTTCCATCTTATATCTGGGAAAACTGAGACTCAGGTTACATAATTGTTCAAAGCTACAATGTCAGTAAGTGGTAAAGTTGGCATCTGTGTGTAGATTCGCTATATACCCATTACTACATTTATAATGCTGGGAACAATTTTTAAACCATCATTAGTGGAGCTAGCAGGTAGCATAGTAGTTAAGGTACGAGACTCCCATGTGGTCAACCGTGGTTTGAGTCCTGGACTCAGCAGCTTGAAACTCACACCAGGCACATGTGTGTGCATGCCCACAATTTTAAGAGAAGAATGGAGAAGGGATTGTGGTGTGGCCATACCCCGGTAGGTGATTTCTAGCTCTCTGTCTCTGTGACAAGTACAAGCACCATATGGCAAAAATTTCTCAAAAACAAACAAACAAACAAACCATCATTAATAACTGGAAAAATTTTTGAAAAAGGGAAAAAGAATGGATTTTTTTCCTACATGAATCTGCAAGCAGTTATTCTTCCTAGAAACATTAAATCACGAGAGAATCTATTTGTTTTTTAACTAACAGAGGGTACATTTACTTCCCAGAGAGAGAGAAAGAGGGAGAAAGCACCCCTCAATGGGGTGTGGTCACAATGCAATAACTTGTCCATTTCTCCATCCTGTCAGGATGTGGGCATTCAAGCACATGCGCCTGACATGCTTTCAAGCTTACAGGGCCAGGATTCAAACCACAGCCAGTCATGTGGGACTCAAGTCCTTTGACTACTAGGTTATGAGGGCCCCAAGAACTGATTTATAGAAAATGTTCTTGTACAAGTGTTTTAATGTCCCTCACTCTACTAGAATATAAACTCTATGAGGGGATGAACCTTCATTGGATTTGTAAACTAAAATTTACAAGAAGTTCCTAGAATATACTAGGCACTCAATAGAGTTGATGAATGAATGAATCCATCTATAAGCCTTCGACATACATTTAAAGCACAAATGAGAAAAAAATCTGAATTAAGAACAATACAGTGGAGAGAGCACTGGTGTTAGAGGGTCAGGATACTTGGGCTCTTGCCCCAGCTCTGCAATTGACCAACCAGACAAACTTGTAAACTGCTCAGCTATGCAGGTCTGCGTTATAACAAGAAAATGAATTTGCACAGTTGTCTCCAAAGCTCACCCAGTGGAACCTCAGGTCTGTGCTCCGCATACCCACCTGAGCCAGCGCTTTTAGGGGTTTTCTACATTAAGTTCCTGAGTTAGATTTCTGTTCAAAGAAAGGTTCTACTAGAGTAAGAAAGTCTGGAAACTATTTCTTAAAAGTTCTTATTATTTATTTCATGTGAGAGAGAGAAAGAGAGAAGCAGACCTCCGACAGGACCCTGTCACATCAAAATCCTCCCCAGACTTCTAATAGCCAGGCCTTCCAAAATGACTCTAGAAAGGCACGATGGTGCCCTATGATCTGTACTACCACAGCTGGGTCTGAAAACCACTGTTCAATAAATTAAAGGTTCTTTATTGAACAATGGCTTTCAGGCCCAGAGAAGGGACCAGGAAGTTGCAGAGACTCTGAACAATTATTTTAAATAGAACTCTGTGAGAATATTACAAACATAACTATGACTCCAAATTTTCAAGATATGTTTTATACCTTAAGTTGATTATTTATGTTTTCAAAATAAATTAGAGAGGAGACGAAGAAATGAGGCAGCATTTAATACCGTAAATTCTCTCTCAGCAAGCACGTCCTATGTGTACATACCTCTCTGTGTTTCGACAGATCCAGCCCAAACTGCGCTGGCCCAGCAGTCAACACCACCCTGCCAAAAAACGGGTGGGAGACGATCTGCACAGCTCGTGGAGGCAGCTGCTGCTCCTTCTGCTGCTGACTCGACAGCTCGATCATCTCCTGCATGAACCTCAGCCCGTCTTCCGCGTCGATTGAACTAGCGGCCTGTGAGAGAAACAGGTTTGTTTTACCTCTTTCTGGAAACCTTTTGGATTTCCTAAATACACTGCACAATAATCTTCTACTCTAAAACTTCTCCTCTGAGGCAGGTCCCTACCCAATATTTATGGACTGACTCGCCCTCAAAAACATTTCTTCTAGAAACTGTACATACATACTGCGTAGATTATCTATGTGTCATTTTTATCAATGTCTTCTGCACTATTCTACACAAGACTTGGATAAAGACTGAAAAGTGGACTTTTATCAAACGCTCACTTTGCTTGCTTTCCCACTGACTTCTGCTTTGAGGAAATAGACCTCACACTTGACGCACACATCCCTTCCAGGAAACTGTGAACTAAGAACCAGATTCGAATTGATTCAAAAGACGTAGATCAGTCACCTCTTGTATTCCAGCACTTGCCTAGGCATTAGACAGTCCTTTACTTTAGCAAGTACAACGTCAGCTATAATAAGATCTCTCAAGGGAAGAAAGTGAAACAGGAAGGCTCTGTGTGCACTTGGGGAAGATGGAAAATGACATTTAAACTGAATCATAACAGGAAAAGTTGAAGAATGCTTGACTATAATAGAAAAAAAGAAGACGGATTCCTGACATTTTACAGAAAAAAACAAGACCTGATAGGAGTCAGAGAAGACAAAGCCCAGAGGGGTGCTGGCAGACTGTGAAGAGTTGAAGCCTATCCTGAAATGTCTAGCTTTGATGACTTAGAGAGTAAGTGACATGGTTTACTGACATGGAGAATAAGGAAAGATGGGTTGAGATGGGGCAGGAAGAGAGCAGACAAGGAAGAGGCCGTTTAAGTTTGAATAAACTGAGACAGAAGTAGAAACAGGGACCAGCAGATGGTACGATGGTTACACGGCTGGACTCCCACATAGTTGCCTGCAGTTTGTGTCCTGGACCCAGCAGCATAAAACTCACACTGGGTGGGGCCAACAGCAGGTGGTGTGGTGGTTAAAGGGCACTGGACTCCCACATGGCTGTGGTTTAAATCTTCGACCTGGCAGCTTGCTTTCTCACTTTCTTTCTCCCTCTCTCTCTCTCTCTGTCCCTCTCTGGTCAATTTTAAAAAAACAAATAAAGATACATGGAGTAATTATTAAAAACAAAACAAAAACTCATGCCAAGTGCATGTGCATGCATGCCCACGATCCCAAGAGGAGAAAAGAGAGCGTGTCCATCCCCCCTGTGGAATGATTTCTTGCTTTCTTTCTCTGTTTCTCCAGAGAGTGCACATGCCCTATAGCAAAAATCTCCCTCAAAATAAAAAATGAATGAATAAAGAAATAAAAAGAGACGTAGAACCATATGACAAGTAGATTAAAGCTGGGTTTAAAATTAAAGTGATGAATCCAGGGGGCAGACAATAGCACTGTGATAAAATGCAGTGCTCTGCGAGGCTAACCAACACGTGAGGGCCCTGGGTTTGGATCCAGAGACTGCCGGGCACGTCAGGCACACACATGCCCATGATCCAGAACTGCCTAGGGCTCCACGTGGACTGCAGCATCAAGGCACTGACAGAGTTGTCGCTCTCTGTTTCTCTCATGAAAAGAAAAAAGCTTTAAAGTTACAAATCAGGGTCACATGCATATCTAAGAAGTCATGGTACAAAGACGACAGCCATGCTTGCAGAAACAGCCGAGATGTTGATGAAGAACATACAGAGAAAGAAGTGACGTCAGATCCCTGGGAAGTGTCTGCGCTGAGTTGCTATGCCAAAGAGAGCCATAAGGAATCTGCCCAACAGTGAACAGAGAGCAGCAGGAGAACCATGTTGCTGCAATGCCCTAGGAGCCCAGGAACAAGAATGTTTTAAGGAGGGGTCAATATAAACAGCTACAAAAAGCTAAATCATGTAAGGGTTAACAGACTGAAACCGCCATCTTCCAGTAATCCACCAAAATGACGAACACAAAGGGCACCAAAAGGACGAACACAAAGGAAAAGAGGAGAGGCACCCGATATATGTTCCCTAGGCCTTTTAAAAAACAGGGAGGGGTTCCTTTGGCAACACACATGCCAATCTACAAGAAAGGTGATATTGTACACGTCAAGGGAATGGGTACTGTCCAAAAAGGAATGTCCCACAAATGTTACCATGGCAAAACTGGAAGAGTCTACAATGTTACCCAGCATGCTGTTGGCGTTGTTGTGAAAAAAACAAGTTAAAGGCAAGATTCTTGCCAAGAGAATTAATGTGCGTATTGAGCATATTACCCATTCTAAGAGCAGAGATAGCTTCCTAAAACATGTGAAGGAAAATGACCAAAGAAAGAAGAAAGTCAAAGAGAAAGATACCTGGGTTCAACTGAAGCACCAGCCTGCTGCACCCAGAGAAGCCACTTGTGTGAACCTATTCCCTATGAATTCATGGTGTGATGGGTTTAAAAATAAACTAAAACTATGACCTATTTAAAAAAAAAAAAAAAGGCTACTTGGTGGTGATTATGTCATTGGTGGCCCAAGTGTCATCAGTGTCTTGGTGATGCCACTCTCACAAGCAGGGAATGAGGACGAGTAAAACATAGGAAGGAGGAAGTGTAATCCTTTAAAAAGGATGAAAGTGGCAAGAATACAGATGAGATTAAAATTCAAGTAGGTGAGGTTGTGAGAAAGGTGTATTTGAGATCAGGGATATCTGAATATGGTTACAGGTTGAAACTATTCAGCAAACAACACAGTTTTCTCTAAATCAATATGCTAATAAGGTAAACAATTTTTAAAATTTGCAAGAGGGCACAAGTGCTCATCAAAGAGAGACAAAATGGAAAAGCACCCCCGGAGGGGGGGGGTCATGCAGCAATCCCCTCTCCATTTCTCCTTTCGGAATTTTAGGCATACATATACACACTAGGTCCAGGACATGAACCATGCAGTCCGCCATGTGGGATCTGGCCACCTTAACCACCACACCACCAGCTGGCCCATTACTTTAAAGATCTATGCTATGCTAACAAAAACTTTTAAAGCAAAAAAGAAAAAATCAAATATTCCCCAAAAGGCACAAATAAATTCAAATCTTGATTTCTATATGAATAAAATATTTATATTTAATAGCTTTGAAAACTTAAAAGAATGTGAATCATAGCAATATATTATAAATACTGTATTAAAACTATTAGCTTTTAACTATGCAGTAAATAGGAGACAACAGACTGAGAAACAGAAACTTAGATCTGAGACCTACACTTGCCTACATTACGTAAAGTATCCCACCAATCTGACGTATTGGGTTGCTGGAAAGTCGTGATGCATTTTTACACAGAAAAACACAGGGAAATATGGCATGACTTTTTCATGAGGTTGTCAGAAAACATTTTTCTGTTTTTCTGTGCAACAATGTGTCATGACTTTTCAGATGACCCAACAGTTAATTGTTTTACACCAAGAAGGTTGAGTTAGATGTCTTTATCAGGTATTTCTAAGTCTTAAAATTCTGATTCTCTAAGCCATAGATTTAAAATTTCTAAAAAGTTAAATGCCATGATCTTCTTAAAGCTAATGAGACCGAAACGGGCAGAGAAGAGAAGATATCCGATTAGTGTAGCAATGTCTTACTTGGATTGCATGTTGGACCAACTGGACTCTCCCATCTTTGAGGTGAATCAAACTCACCCCCATCTTCTTCAGGATTTCTAAATGTTCAGGGTTAGAAAACTATTAGCTTTTAACTATGCAGTAAATAGGAGACAACAGACTGAGAAACAGAAACTTAGATCTGAGACCTACACTTGCCTACATTACGTAAAGTATCCCACCAATCTGACGTATTGGGTTGCTGGAAAGTCGTGATGCATTTTTACACAGAAAAACACAGGGAAATATGGCATGACTTTTTCATGAGGTTGTCAGAAAACATTTTTCTGTTTTTCTGTGCAACAATGTGTCATGACTTTTCAGATGACCCAACAGTTAATTGTTTTACACCAAGAAGGTTGAGTTAGATGTCTTTATCAGGTATTTCTAAGTCTTAAAATTCTGATTCTCTAAGCCATAGATTTAAAATTTCTAAAAAGTTAAATGCCATGATCTTCTTAAAGCTAATGAGACCGAAACGGGCAGAGAAGAGAAGATATCCGATTAGTGTAGCAATGTCTTACTTGGATTGCATGTTGGACCAACTGGACTCTCCCATCTTTGAGGTGAATCAAACTCACCCCCATCTTCTTCAGGATTTCTAAATGTTCAGGGTTAGTGGCCATGAAATCTCTGGCTCTCAGAGGGGGTTTAGTTCCACTCCTGAAATTCTCCTCTCTGCTAAAAGTAATTATAGAAAAGGCTCAAAAATCTACAAATTAAAACCAGTAAAATACGTAAACCAAATGGAAGTGTTTAATATTTGAAAAATTGCAAGTTTTGGAACTAGTGAAACTGAAGTAACTGGAGTTATTTTACTACATATAACTGAAGTTACTGGTAAGTGTTAGCTTTCGAATATATTTTCCAGTTACAAAAGCATGTATATTATTTATATAAGGCAGTATCAGTCAATAGCATTATAACTATCTGAAGATACAGGATAAGTGTGCTTGGGAATTTCTAACTATTGATGTTCTCCTCTAAAAACACAGATTTCTTTCCTCCCAATATTTTTAAAGTGAAACAGTATTATATCAGTGAATAAGGTTCATTAATTTTTTTTATTTCCTTGTGTGGATCTTTCTAATGCAACTATTGGGTAATTGGAAAAGTCATGACATATTCTTCTATAGTTTTCTATGCAAAAAATGTATCATGGCTTTTCCAATGACACAATATTAATAAGAAAATGAACTCGTAAACAAACAAATAAAAATTCACAACAAAGAGAAAGTATCCCTTTGAAAACTAAAATCAGGACCCATGCAGTGGAACAGCGGTGGCAAGGCTGTACCCACACAAGAAAGGTCCAGGTTTGCGTCTCAGAAGCTCCCTGAGCCCGCCAAGCATGGGCACACGTGCCCATGACTCAGTCTGACTGAGACTGGTAATGGATCAAGGCATGAAGATCCTGTTGAAGATGGCTATCTCTGTTTCTCTCTCTTTCATGGAAGAAACAAATAAATAGTGAACTTTAAAATGTAAGAAACAAAACAAAAACTGCATTTTTCACTACAAGGAAACTAGAGACACAAGGAAAAAATATTTTCTAAAGACATGGAAATATATGATAAAACTATCCTGAATAAAAATGAACTATAGAAGTTAAAAACTGCTATATGCTGCCCCCTGACTATTATTATTTAGCTCATAAACAAAAGATACTCTGAAAATTTCCATAATAACAAAAAAGACACTACTGCAAAGTAAGCTTTACTATTTACCTTTACTAATAACTGTTAGTAATGACTGCATACCCCAATATTTTTGGTCTACATGAATGGCTACTTGGCTGTTGTTACATGTTCCTTAAGTATTCTGTCACTGCTAAGAATTATCTTTGCTAGTAACAAACAGAAAATAACACATCTACATAACATAATACATCTTACACTCTGATGATGCCTCTAGGACAGCTCTTATCCACCACATTTTTCAAGGGTTCACGAATGCTCTGAGCATACAGTGGGTCATTAGGGAAGAGAATCTGAGTGTTCGGACAAGTCCAATCAAAATTACTGTCATCCAGTTCTGTATATTCTGAGGTCTATAATAGAAAGTAATTTTATGTAAGTAAAAATAATTACTTAACATTATGTTTTGTTAAAAGGAAACATTTAATGAAAAGTATATGCAGGATATAATAAAGCAAAGCAAAAAATATGTTATGTACTTGTCCTCCTACCAAACATAGCACTTACTGAATTCAAATCATAGATTACTTTTTCACTTGGAAAAATAAAACATACATAAAGAAGTTTAAAAAAAGTTGTTTTTTTTTTTTTTTCCCTTGAGAGGTTTTTTTGCTATAGGGCGTGTGCGCTCGCCAGAAAGACAGAAAGAAAAAAATGACCCCCTGGGGGGATGGCCACACCACAATCCTTTCTCCTCCATTCTCCTCTCAAGATCTTGGGCACGCATGCACATGCACCCAGCATGAGTTTAAGCCACCAGGTCCGGGACTCGAACCACAGTCGGCTACATGGGAGTCCAGCGACATAGTCATTATGCCAACTGCTGGTCCCAAAAAAAGATATTTAATCAATAACTTACTGTGTTCTTTTTAGAGATGCTTTGATTTGTAGTAGAGAGCCAAAGAGGTAACAGATGAGCTTCTGTTGTAAAGATGTAATCTTCTATATCAAAAATAATGTCTTCTTTATCAGCAAATAACAAGTAAAGATATTTAAACATTTCGGCCAAGAAGAAAGAATCCATTCTAAAATAAAAAGTCACAGATATAAATATAAGAACATAAAAATATCTACTTGCCAACTCTGAAAGCCAGAGTCAAGGTCAGTAACCCAGTCTATATCAATTCTTTGGACAAAGAATTATAGACTTTATTAACCCCCCAGTTGCAGAAGAGCCTTGAGACTCTATCAGCCCCCAGGTGCAGAAGAGCTTTGTCTCCAAGTACATTTCAAGGAAATGAAACAGACCAAAGGAGCTGCCTCCCACCCAGGTGCACTACATCTTGCCAAGGAGGCAGACAAGATTTTTCTATGGGCCTTCTAATGGGGAAGTTTCCTACTTCTATGGAGAGCGAACAGCAGGCAAGTATCTAGGTGAAGTCTACCAGAGAGAATCATAGAACTTTCAACTAATATTAACGGAACTGGATAAAGGCAAATGACTTGAAGGAATTGATGATGTAGCCAATTAAGTGATTAATAAGGACGCTTTAAAGGTATATGGGACCAGCAGATAGCTATGTCGCTGGACTCCCTTGTAGTCGACCGCAGTTCGCGTCCTGGACCCGGTGGCTTAAAACTCACACCAGGCGCGTGTGTGTGCATGCCCAAGATCCCAAGAGTAGAACGGAGGAGAAGGGACTGCGGCGTGGCTATACCCCTGGGGGGTGATTTCTCGCTTTCTGTCTCTCTGTCTCTGTCTGGCATGCATACGCACCCTATAGCAAAAAAAAAAAAAACCCTCTCCAAAAACAAAACAAACCAAACAAAAAGAAAAGGTAATCAGTTATAAAAGTTATATAAAAAATACAACACAAAATCACATGAATTATGATTATAACCTTGTAAGTACTTATCCAAAAAAATATGGAGAGATAAAGGGGATAAATATATAACTGCCTTTACAAATTGTTTAATGTTATATGTTTTAAAAACGTCTTAAACGTTTAGATAAAATTCAAAGTGTCAGGAAAAGAGCATAACTGGTAGATGGAGTTATAGTAATATTTACACTTTTACAATTATAGTTACTACCTTCCAAAGCACCCTACATTTGGTAGTAATAAATGACTTATAGTTTACTGGAAAGCTTACGATTTCATACACCTGGCCAAGCACAATTCCTGGCACATAGTAGGCACTCAATAAAATTTATCAAATTGAATGCAAGTTTAAATAGCATTACTAAAGAAGGAGATGAAGAGGCAACAGAACCCAGTGGTAAAGAACCCGGGCTCAAATAGAAAGATCTTCCACTAACAAGCTCTGTGACCATGTGGAGAAAAAGACTATGAAATTCAGTTAACTCTTCTATAAAAAGAACATAATAAATTGTCATAATAATATACTCATAGGGACCAGCAGTTGGCGTAATGGCTATGCCGCTGGACTCCCAGGTAGTCAACCGCGGTTCAAGCCCCAGACCTGGTGACTTAAACTCACACTGGGCGAGTGTGCATGGGTGCCCAAGATCCCCAGAGGAGAATGGAAGAGAAGGGACTGTGGCGTGGCCATTTCCTCCGGGGGGGTGATTTCTCGCTTTCTGTCTCTCTTTCTGGCAAACACATGCGCCCTATAGCAAAAACCTGTCAAAAAAAAAAAAAAGTATGTATATATACTCATAATGTTGTCATAAAAGATTAAATGAGGTGCCAGTAGGTTGTCTGGTGGTTATGGCACCGGACTCCCACATGGCTGATGGCAGTGTGAGTCCCAGACCTGGCAGCTTAAAAACCACACAGGGCTTATGTATGTGCAGGCCCAAAATCCCAGAAGGGAGGAGAAAGGACGAACTGGTTATCCCTGCTGGGGTGATTTCTAACTCTCCTATCACTGCCTCTCTTCAGCAAGTGCACACACTATGGCAAAAACCTTACCAAAAAAAAGACAAGAAAATAAAGACTAAATAAGATATTATATATCAATTATTCAGCATAGTACCTGGCATATGTATGATATCAAAACTACAGCTATCAGGGCCAGCAGGTGGCATGCAAGTTAAGGTGGCTAGATCTGCCATGGCCAACTGTGCAATTACAGTCCTGGACTCAGCAGCTTGAAAATTACTCCGGGTGCATGCGCATGAATGTCAAAAATCCCAAGAGGAGAATGAGGGAGAAGGGACTGCGGTGTGGCCATCCTCCCTGGGGATAACTTCTCACTTTCCCTCTCTCTCTCTCTCCAATAAGTAAACGTACACTATAGCAAAAATGATAAATAAAAAAAATGAAAAACACTATACCAATCATTTTTCCTATATACAGATCATTTTTTTATTTTGTAACCAGAACTCACTTGTAATGTTTTAAGATGTTTTTGGCCATCATAGATGTTAATTTTTTCAGAATAGATAAAAACACTTTCGTGTAACCTGTAACACACTTATAATTTAACCTTTTCTAAAGGACTGACAGACATTATCATAAGCAAATGCTATCTTGAGACCTGCAGCCTAATGAGCTGGATACTGATTATCTGGCAAATTTTAGAATTATGAAACAAATGATCTGTAAACATTCAGAAAAGGATCTATTGTAGGAGCTGGCAGGTGGCATAGTGGTTAAGGCACTAAACTACCACATGGTCAACAACAGTTTGAGTCCTGGACCTAGCGGCTTGCTTTCTCACTTTCCCGCTTGCTCTCTCTCTGGTCAAATTTTTTTTAAATGAGAATAAATAAAATTAAATAAATAATTTTTTTTTTTTTTTAAGGATATGGTAAGATCATTACGATGTGAACTGGAGAAAGTTAGCATGTTAAGTATCATATCATATGATTTATTTCAAATTTTAAAACCATAAATAAATACAGAAATGCAAATAGAGGCATTAAAAGTGTCTAGAAGACTTTGTCAAATTGCTAATAGTGGTGATTTAGGAAGGTAGGGAGAGTATCTTTAGAAAAGATTTCCATTTTTAAATTTTTACGATTTAAATTGTTTTCATCTTGTTAATAATTGATTACTTGATAGTAATTATCTACTAACAAGAGAATACATTATCTTTCCCACTGTAAAAAGTGTGTGTATGTCTGGGGGACTCTGGTAAGCTGGAGGACAGTGGGAAATAAGCACCCAAATACAAAAAGCCTATAACCAAAAGCTCTCAAATGCCATGCCATGAAGCACTTAGTCATGGCCCTAGTGAAAAATTTTCCAACAATTAGGAAGAGAACACTTTAAGGCATACTTATCTAAACTGTAGGACACTAAAAACTGGTAGTTTAGCTAAATGAAATAATAAAATGAGATTTGACATTTTTAGTCTAGAATTCTGCTGGAATAAACGAAAAGTTCTTGGTTTATACATTAAAAAAAAAAAAAAAAAAGAATTAAGGGGCCAGCAGGTAGCATGGTGGTTAAGGTGCTAGACTCCCACATGGCCAACTGTAGTTCAATTCCCAGACCAGTGGCTTGAAAATCACACTGGGAGTGTGTATATGCCTGTCTGAAATCCCAAGGGAGAATGGAAAAGTAGAGACTTGGTATGGCAAGCCCCCTGGGGAGGTGACTTCTCACTGTTCCTCAGTCTGTCTCTCTCCAGCAAATGCATGCACCCAATGACTAAAATCTAGGAAAAACAAACAAACAAACAAACAAACAAAAAGAAACACTCCAATTGTTCGAGAACAGGGTGGAGAACACCCATTTGTAAGTAAGCAGGCCGTGTAGTTACAAGCTCACTCACTGTGGTTTTAACGTAATAAAGCTGCTAAGGGACCAGCAGTTAGCGTAATGGCTATGTCGCTGGACTCCCATGTAGTCGACCATGGTTCAAGTCCCGGACCCGGTGGCTTAAAACTCACGCTGGGCGCTTGTGCACACGTGCCCAAGATCCCAAGAGGAGAATGGAGGAGAAGGGATTGCAGCGTGGCCATCCCCCTCTGGGGGGTGATTTCTCACTTTCTGTCTCTCGGTCTGGCGAGCACACGCACCCTATGGCAAAAACCTCTATAAATAAATAAATAAATAAATAAATAAATAAAGCTGCTAAAAAATCTATAGCACATCTAACAACAAAGTACAATGAAAATAAGTAGTTCTCAACCTCTGACCGGTCAGATGCAACTGACAAGTACAATGCCCCAGGAGGAAGGTGAGCCAGTGAAGAAGTGGTCCTTAATTCACTAGAGGGTTTGAGCCCATCGGCCCCTCAGAAAACGAGCAATCTCTCCCTGTCTGAATCCAGATGGTTTAAGTGCTGTCGAGCTGGGCACATCTTAAGAATGGTTAATTCTGGACATGGTATTTTGAGAAATATTTTATATGCTGGAATACAATCGGGATGGAGCAAAGGCAGTGGTAAGAGGCCCAGAAACAATGTCCAAAAGGGATACTTGGTGGGAGAAGAAAAAAAGATGTTAAATTTCAAAAACTGAACTCTCTGAACAGTAAATTATACCTTTCTCTGTAATTCCTCAACCTGTCACTCTCATTTTTTTAAAATGTTTTGCAATAGGTCACACTGCTATAATAATGCTTTTGAGGAATTCCTGACTGAAAACAAATCATAATTCAGATCATCACCATTTTGATAACTTCTAACATCTCACATAACAAAAAACTATTAACCACAGGAAAAAAAACATTCCTATAATACTCCTCATATCAACGTTTTGATACTTAAAAACCATTCATTCACCTGCTGAAAAATCCTTTGAGCATCTTTATATGCCAGATACTATGATAAAAATATAAACTTTTAAAATGATTTCAAAGGATTCAAAATTCAAAAGGTTTTTAAAAAATAAACACAAAGAACTAAGGTTTGTGTCACCAATTACCCTTAGTAACTTTTCTGAATTCTAACTACTAGAATAGTTTGTGTCATTCAGAGTTCCCTGAGGAAGGGTATGAGCAATTGTTTACCTGTCCTCATGACTTCCAGTACGGACATCCTTCATGGCAGCAAATCCGCAAGGCACTCTAGCATATTTATTTAAATTTTCAATAAGTGTTTTCCCTACTTCAAGGTAGTAAGGATCTCCTGTAGCCTATTAAAAAGGAGAATATATGTATACATATATAGCTTATATTATCACATTCCCATTCATTTATCCAAGATTTATTGAGTACCTACTAGGTGCCAGGCACTACATCAGGCACTGGAACTCACTTTACAGAGAACCTAGCTCTGAAAATAAGCCACGGATCTGCTTTACAGAATTTCTTAAATATACAATTGGAAAGTTGTTGAACTTTTGTATTAAATTTCTATTGCCTGGAAAGGTTGTCTGATGGAAGAAAGGCAAGAAACAAGCTTTAGAAAGCAGCTCTAGCGTATAAAATTGTTCCTTAAAGACAGGTTTACGTAACTATTTTGGAAAGGCATAAAGTCACATGTCAGACCTTGCACTGTTCAATCACTCCATATACTAGATGAGTAAGAATCACAATATAGCGAACCATTAGAACATTACGGACTTTGAAAACCCAACTAAACCATACAAAATCCAACAGGGAATGGGGACTAAAAAGCAAAAAGAGGTAAATTATCTTACTTTATATAAGAAGTAGGTACTTTCTGCAAATTCTGGCCTTAAAGGATGTTGAGCCCAATGTACCCTGAAATCTGTGGTAAATGCCTAAACAAAACAACACACAAATAGGCATTTAAAAAATTATTTTAAAAAAAGACAAGTGATTCTAGAATATATAGCAATATATAAGTCATAAACAGGTACAAGTAATTAAAATATCAATCAATATTTTTTTGAGAGCTTTTTGCTGTAGGGCGCGCGCACTAGCCAGACAGAGAGAGACATAGAGACAGAAAGCGAGAAATCACCCCCCAGGGGTCACACCACAATCCATTCTCCTCTCGGGATCTTGGGCACACACACACACGCGCCCGGTGTGAGTTTTAAGCCACTGGGTCCGGGACGCGAACCGCGGTCGACTACGTGGGAGTCCAGCGACATAGCCATTACACTAACTGCTAGTTCCCTCAATCAATATATTTTTATCTATAAAATTTTCATTGCTTAAAAGCAATTTATTTTGCAAAAGCTGCTATTTTTCACCAATTAAATGGATTACTTTTTTAAAAATTTGCAAGTAGGCCACATGTGCTCACCAGAGAGAATCAGAGTGAGGAGAGGAAGAAAGCACCCTCCAGTGAGGCACAATGCCTTTTTCATTTCTCAATCCTGCTGGTATTTGGGGCATGCGCACACACATACTCAGTGTGTTTTTCAAACCACTGGGGCTGAGATTTTAACCACATAGTCAACCACGTGAGATCCAGCTGCCTCAACCATTAGGCTGCAGGGCCAACCCAGATTATATTTTAAATGATCACTCTACTAGGCAACTTAGATCAACTTAACAGTTAAGTAATAAAACTCAGTAATGCCACCACATAGGTCTCGATGGCATATATAATTGCATGCTTTTTTTCCTTATTGCCACTGTTTCTTCCACATTATTTCCCTAGTTTTCATATCGCTTTTTATACTGACATGGATTTTTTTAATTTGCTAGAGGGTGCATGCACTCACCAGAGAATGACTAAGAAAGAGGGAAGGCGAGAAAGTATCCTCCCCCCCACGGGGGATGGTAATGCACAATCCTTTCTCCTGCATTTCCCTTCTGAGATTTTGGACACACATGCACACCCTGGAGTACTTCCCAAGCTTCTGCCAGTTCCAAGATTCAAAACACAGTCAGCCACATAGAATGCCTTAATCACACCGCCAGCTGAGTACTTCTCATATTTCACATTTTTTAGTCGACAATAAAAAGTATAAGAGTGTGTGTGTGTGTGTGTGTGTGTGTGTGGTGTTCAATCTGCTGTTTTGATATATGTATACATTATGGAATAGCTAAATCAAACCAATAAATGCATTACCTCACATGCTTACTTAACTATGGTGAGAAAATCTAAAATCTACTCTTAGTAATTTTCAAGTATGTAAACTTTCAATCTCAACATTATTTTAATCTATGTCTTCTTTTATACCAACCACAAATTCTTTGCGGAATAAGACAAAGCATTTTAAAAAGTAATAATAAAATAAAGGAACCAGCAGGTGGTATCATGATTAAGGCAATAAACTCCCTCATGAATGACTGCTGTTTGTGTCCCAGACCCAGTGGCGTGAAGCTCACATTGAGTGTGTGTGTGCATGCGTGATCAAAATTCCAAGAGGAGAGGGGACCAGCAGTTGGTTTAATGGCTATGTCGCTGGACTCCCATGTAGCAGAGCACAGTTTGAGTCTCGGCCCCAGTGGCTTAAACTCATGCCAGGTGAGTGTGTGTGCATGCCCAAGATCCTGAGAGGAGAGTGAAGGAGAAGGGATTGCAGTGTGGTCATCTCCCCTGGGGGGTGATTTCTCGCTTTCTATCTCTCTTTCTGGCAATTTCACAGGCCTTATAGCAAAAACCTCTCCAAAAAAAAAAAAAATCCAAGAGGACAATGGAAGAGAAGGGACTGTAGTGTTGTCATCTAGCCTGGGGGTTGATTTCTCACTTCTTGTCTATCTGTCTCTGTCTCTTGGCAAACACACACACCCTATAAAAAAATTTCTTTCAAAATAAATAAATAAATAATATTTACTCAATAACAGAATCAACTGGTTTTTTAAAAAAGATAAATAAAAGTAAACAATTTTTTTTTTTAGCCAGTGGTGTAAATGTGCTCATAAGAGATAGAGGGGAAGGAAGAAAGCACCTTCCCCCCAGTGGAGTATAATCACACCACAGTCCCCTGGTCTCCATTTCTTCATCCTTTTGGGATTTTTGGCATGTATACACATGCACTTGGCATGTTCCTCAAACTGCTAGGGCCAGGATTCGATCCATGTGTCGGCCTGTGGGATCCAGCACCTTTAATCACCAGGCCACAGGCCACCCCGAGCAAATAAAAACTTCTACGGGAACCAAATAAAAACTTTCTTTGGGAGAGCAGCAGATGGTATAATGATTGCATCACCTGGACTCTCATGGAGTCAATCACAGTTCGAGTCCTGGACCTGGAAGCTTGAAACTCATGCATGTGTGAATGTGTGTCCAAAATCCTAAAGGAGAGGGAGGAGAAGGGACTGCAGCGTGGTCATCCCCCTGGGGGGTGATTTCTCACTTTCTGTCTGTCTTTATAGTGAATGAAACGCCCTACAGCAAAAATCTCTTAAAAAGAAGCAAAAAAAACCCAAAAACAAAAACAACCTTACCCTTGTGATAGATATATTTAGGTGAAACCTTAGTTTATTCTGCACAGGGAAGAATTTTTTGCAATGTAGTCCTACTCACCTTAAGGCTAATAAAATGACACTTTCTAAAATAAACACTTTGGGAAATGTTCATCATTGGTGGAACACTTAGATATCACACAGGGAGTGGTCAAGAAACAGGGACAGCGCAAGGCCATACACATTTGAAAAATTTTAATTGTTTGTTTTTGGAAAGTCAAAAAGTATGCTATGAAAATCTTACCATAGCAAGAATATTTAATACTAACATGCTGTTTAGGAAGAGGGTCAGTCAGCAGCATGGCAGTTAAGGCTGCTAGATCCCACGCCAACTATGTGGTTTGAGTCCTGGACCCTGCAGCTTGAAAATTGTGCCAGGCATGTGTGCAGGTGTACCCAAAATCTCAGAAGGAGACATGGAGGAGCATAGACTGTGGCATGACTACCCCCCATAAAGAGGTGTTTTCTCACTCTCTCTCTTCCTGTCTCTTTTTCTTTCTCATGCTCACTTACGCATGCATGTGCTATCATAAATAGACTCAAAACATATACAATACTACATAAAATAAGGGAAAATTTATTAAATAAACTATTTAACCAAGAGAAAAACAAATGAAAAAAAAAGCTTTATTAAAGATACTGGTTTCTAACTTTAAATGAACAATTCACAGTACATATGCAAATGAAAATTCCTAAGATTTCTCACTTACCTCTGGTAGAAAATTGTGTTTTTTAATCACCTGATATAACATTTCATGAGTTTCAATAGCAGGTCTAATATCCCCCTTTAAAACCTAGAAGACAACACAATTACCTAATAAAATGTGAGTTGATTTTATCTGTCACTACTATATAAACAGAAAAATGTATATTAATTTTGGAATGTGGCTACATTTTGGCAATTCAATTTTAGAGATCACAAATGCACTTAATTAAAATAACTTTAATATTGTGAAAATAAGAGTTCTCCATACCTGTAAACCTGGAAAGAAGGCAAGCAGAGCATCCATCCAAGTGCGCGCATTCAGCATTGGCTTGTGGATGTGGACGTCGAGCAGCAGGGGCGGCTGGCTGATGTACCTCATTATGGCGTCGTAGTGCTGAAAGATCAGGAGATGGGTCACGAGTAGGTTAGAAAGATGTACTGCTCTAAACGCATTAGCTAGCACTGTAAAGAAATTAAACCTGAAATTTACACCTCAATAAATACACGAGCTACTCATTAACTGAAAAGACTTCAATTATTTTAGATGGAAATCTTTCTAAAATAGATGTACTCCCTGACATCCTTTAACTCAGATGCAGAATATTCAAGATTATACTTACTATGGGACCTTCTGAGGGAAGCAGATCTGAGGATCCTGCATCTCCTGTGGGATTAGCCCATGGTCAGTACGCCTCTGTGGCCCAATGATGCTCTTAGGGCCCCTTGGAACAGTTACAGCTTCTAGTATCTATTACAGCATTAGTTTTCTCCTGTGTCTAAAAAGTTTGGTCTCTTTTCAGCTAACGTAATATTGTGGTGCTACCAACTCAACTAGCGCATCTAATCGCAGTTGTCGCTCTTACAGTCTGCGAGCTCTGCCTTTTATGCTCGTAGAAATCTTTTTCTCTCTTTTGTCTTTTTCTTCTAAAAATTTCTCAGCTTTTACAATGAGTGTGATGACACAATGAATATAGTATCTGTCACCACTCACTTCAAGAAAATATAACCTTGAATACTTAGAGGGATCAGGAGGAGCCATAGTAGTTAAAGTGCTGGATTCGCACATGGTTGATCGTGGTTTGAGTCTCAGACCCAGTGGCTTGAGAGTCACGCCGTCCCGCTGGGGGTGGGAGCCAACAGATACAGTAGCAGTTACATTGCTGGACTCCCACCGGCTGACCGCAGTTTAAGTCCTAGACCTGACTCCCAAGCCTGTGTGTGCACATTCCCAAGATCTTAAGAGGAGGATGGAGGAGAAGGGATTACAATGTGACCATTTCCCCTGAGGGGTGATTTCTCACTTTCCATCTCTGTCTCTCTCTGGTGACCGCACACACCCTATACATACATACATACATAATTATATAAATAATTATATATACACACACACACACATGTGTGTGTATATATATTTAGAGAGAGCGAGATATAAAATTTAAAATATGACCTTTACATAGTTTATTATCTAATAAACAACATATGTGATAGTATTTGTTAAAGTATTCAGCTGATGACTTAGGACTTTTACTAGTTTTTTTAAATTATTTTTCGCTAACTTGTCTGCTATTTAATCACCATTACTGAGTACCTGCCATACACCACTTCATACATGTAAGCTTATTTAATCCTCCCAATAACCCTATAAATAGTACTAGTATGCCCAACTGGCAGATGAAAAACAGAGCCAAATTGTGTTTGTTATTTAATCTAACTCACAAAATCAGTAGATAGTACAAGCAGGACTCGAACCAAGACAACTCATACTTTTAACTACTTTATCATACTGTCTCACATACTTAATGGGGTGGGTAAATACTCATCTCTTAAAAAACATACAGTGATATAGCTGATCAGTCTAAATATTAATTCAGGTTTGTTTGATTACAGAGGTTATTTGGTTGGTTTTAGTAATCCTTCACTTCTGCCCCCCAAAGTGGGTTCTGATCCAGTCTTAAGACTTGTGGATTTACTTCTGAAATACTCACTAGTTTCTCTAAGTCTACAAAGTTCTGTATACTTCCTGTGATAAAGGATCAGGCCAAACTTCTAAGATCTTAAAAAAACTAGAACTCAAAAAAGAAAGCTAACTATAAGTTGAGTATCCCTTATCCAAAATGCTAAGGACCAGAAGTATTTTGGATTTCAGATTTGTTCTGGATTTTGGAATATTTGCTATCCATAATGAGATATCTTGGGGATAGGACCCAAGTCTAAACACAAACTCATTTACGTTTCATATACACCTCACTACCACAGCTAAAGATAATTCTATACAGTATTTCTGTACTCCAGTGTTTTGAATGCAACCTATCACATGATGTCAGGTGTAGGATTCTGCACTTGTGGCATGATGCTAAAGCTCGACAAGTTTTAGATTATGAAGTGTTTTGGGTTTCAGACTTTCAGACGAGAGTGGTCAACCTACAGTACTAACTTCTTGCAATAATACTTTTTTTTTACAAAAGAAGATTAGGTAAACTAAACTCTGTTTTTTAATCACCTATTGGAATTTTCAAGTAAGTGATAAAAATTTCCAATCTGGAAATGACAGTTCTAATTAGTGAAAATAGCACAGTAAAAGATAAAAACACAACTATTGGGTCACAGGAAAATCACAATGCATTCTTGCACAAAAAAGTACATCATGACTTTTCCGACTACCCAATACTTTGTAAAAAAAAAAAAAAAATAGTTTTGTAGTATATGTGAAGCTTTTACCCTGTCTCTGTCCAACCACATCAGAGAATACTGACAAGAAACTACTACACATTTGAAAAATGCCACTTGCATAATTCAGTTTCTATTAAAATCTGGAATCAAATGAAATGGGCTATGAGATACATAAAATTGCATCAACTTACTGTATTAAATCTTTCCAAAAAGCTGTCATCTCCAAGCAAGACATAGGCTTTTAAAAGATACTCATAATATGAATCAATGCCTGCTCCAACTCCACTGTCTATGGAAAAGAAAACACATATAAATATGACTCTTCATTAAACAGTCCTCAAAAATTCTTTCTAGAATACAAGTGGGTAACAGTATACCAATAATGAGAAAGTAATCTTAACATGAAACTGTTTAAAGTATAAATTATACAATTATATAAATATTAATCCTACTTACTATATAAATCATTACTTTGTTCCTAATAGTTTGTATTTTGGGGGGTAAAAAAATCCTGGTTAGAGTCTTAAGTCAAAGCAGGAAACACTAGTTTTAAGATTTTTTTCAAAGTGTATTTTCTCAGTGAAAAACTTCTAAGAACCAGCACTAGAGGGTGCCACTAAGCAGTTTCTTGATGGGAACCTTCCTCTGTAAAAACACCCATCCTTACTGTCAGAGCAGACATGAAAGTAAGACAAGACTGCTGCTATTTGGAGACGCCAGTTATAATTACTGAAAATAGCACAGTTGCCTGTTTTTCCCTTCCAGATCATCACAGAAGACCAAAGAAAGAAAAGAAGAGGAAACTGTGAGTGCTCTCTAGGGACGAAGGGAGGAGGGGTAGAGACGGCTTTGGCCTAGTGCAGAAGGCAGCCATGCATAGCTATAGCAGGTCAACAGGGCAGCAAGTCCTGGAGCTCAACTCCTCCTCCTCCTCCTTCCACTGTCTCTCACACCTGCTAGGACTCAGAACTCTGCTCCAGGTTTCCTAAAGAACAAAATCTGGCCAGCACAGAGGCCAGTCAGTGAAAGGCATGAACAAATCTGGTGGGAACTAAACAGTCTCTTCCCTACCTTTTTCCTTCCAAATTCTTGAGGCCTGGTGAATTACCATCTAAATTTTAATTATAATCTTAGAAACCCCTATACCTAAAACACACCTCTGGTCAATTAAGTCAGGATCTCCAGGGGTCTAAGCACCAGAACTTTTTAGAACTTCTTAGAATTTACCCCTGAGATTACCAGGGCATTAGGAGTTAGAGTGAACTGCTCCACAAAGTAGATGACAATGGAATATGAATTCACAGAACCCAAATCAGACATTTAAGAAGTATGGCTTATTAAAAAGAAAAATAATGTACTGGAATAAGACTTTCTCAGAAAAAGAAAAAATAGAACAGGCAAACCAAGAATTTTAAATTACTGTAATAGACATATTAAAGAGATAAGGATGTTATTAGCAATATAAGACAAAAAATATTAAATCAAGCAGAAACACAGAAAACAAAAATGTTAAAATAATATAATAGTAGGATATATAGCAGAAAGAAAAGAGGTGAGGAATAAATTAGCAAAGTACCACCTATAGTAATAGACTACCGATAGTATAGGAAGGAAAAAAGGCAGAAAAAGACAATATGAAAGAAAAGCCATGATATACGGAGGTTATAAATAAAAACTATAGTGATTTAGGTCATAGGAATCGCAAAAAATAAAAATGAAAAGGATAAACTATCTACAAAAACAAAAATCAATTTTCAACAGTTGTTGTGTACTGAAAGGGTCTATGGAATACAAGAGGAGAAAAAGAAAAACCTCCACCTAAAATTATAGTGACATTTTTAGAAATTTCTCATTGTCTTTGATATTCATAATTTTCCAGAAAAAGAGTAGATCACATATAACGTTATAAATCAGAATATCACTTTTTTTTTTTTTGGAGAGATTTTCGCTATAGGGCACGTGCGCTCGCCAGACAGACAGAGAGAGACATAGAGACAGAAAGCGAGAAATCACCCCCCAGGGGAGATGGTCACACCGCAATCCCTTCTCCTCCATTCTCCTCTCGGGATCTTGGGCACACACGCACACGCGCCCGGCATGAGTTTTAAGCCACCGGGTCCGGGACGCGAACTACAGTCAACTACATGGGAGTCCAGCGACATAGCCATTACGCTAACTGCTGGTTCCCAGAATATCACATTTTAAAATGAGATATTAGAAGACAGCAGAGTTGCGTATTTTCAAAAACTTGAAAAAAAAAACTTAAACCAAAAATTATATAAAGTCAAACTGTCACTCAAATATGAAAGCATAATATAACTATCAGAAGGCATACAAGGTCTCAGAAGCTATTAAAGACTACTAGAACAGTTTGGAAAAACTTTAAAAAGAAGGGAGACAAACTTAGGGATGTTGCAAGCAGCACACAAAGCACAAGGGACTAAATAACTTGTTAAAGTTTATATTTAAATAGGTAGATGGAAAGAGAGACAGAACACAACTAAAGAGAGAAAGTGAGAGAGGGAAAAAAAATACGTTCATCATTAAGAACTTAATATTGATATATTGGATTTTCAGAAAAGTCATGATGCATTTTTGCATAGAGAAACACATCATGGGGACCAACAGATGGTGGAATGGTTATGTCACTGGACTCCCACATAGTTGACCACAGTTCGAGTCCCAGATCCGGCGGCTTCAAACTCACACCAGGTGCGTGTATATGTATGCCCAAAATCCCAAGAGGAGAATGGAGAAGGGACTGCAGCTTGGCCATCCTCCCTACGGGAGTGATTTCTTGCTTTCTGTCTGTCTCTGTCCCTCTAGTGAACACGTGCACCCTACAGCAAAAACTCTCTCTTAAAAAAAAAGAAAGAAAAAGAAAAACACATCATGACTTTCCCAACCACCCAATAATATCAATATACCAAAGAATGGAGGTTGAGGTCGGGGGAGACAAAGGGATGGGAGAGAATACTGAAGTTCATGTCTTTAGGAGGTAGATACAATTAAAAACAAAAAGGTTAAAAAGAACGTAGAAAAGGTGTAACTTACTAAAGTAATAATTAAGACAGTATATAAGTCTGTATTTAAAATATCAGTAGATATAAATGAAGTAGACTCACCAAATAAAAAAATAAAGATTGACAATATGGATTTTTAACATTTAAATTTTGTAAGAGAGATACTCATAGCATGAGCACCTACAAAAATTGAAAGCAAAAGGACAGAAAAAGACTTATCACGGTCCAGACTCTGTGGTGTAGTCAGTTAGTGCCAGACTGTAGTGCTGGAAGCCAAGTGGCTGGCCACAGGTTCAGATCCCCAGCCCAGTCAGCCTGAAAACATGCCCGGGGCACGTGTCCAAGTCTTGACAAGCTGGAGTTCTGGGGAAAGAGGACTGTGGCACAAACAGACCCCCCCGCTGGGGGGTGCTTCCCCCTTTTTCTCTCCTATCGCATGTACTCACTTGTGCTTTCACAAATTTAAAAAAAAAAAAAAAAAGAGGGGGCCAGCAAGTAGCATGGTGGTTAAGGTGTTGAGTCCAACAACACATGGCCAAATGCAGTTAGAGTCCTGTACCTGGTGGCTTGCTTTCTCATTTTCCCTTTCCCTCTCGCTGTCTCTCTCTGGCCAAATTAAGTAAATAAATAACTAACAACAAATAAAAAATATAATTATTTTAACAAAAAGAAAAACTTGAGAAGAAGCCACGGGCCTTCAGGACAAGGTTCCACATGGCTACAGTGAACTAGATTTTTAAGGGAATGAAGATTTTCTACTAATAATTCAGCCTCCAACAAATGAGCTAGCACGAGCACAATAGAACAGCAAAGAGATTCTAGATCACCTCTGCCTGCTTGCTCCTGAACATTAAGGCTGAACTTCAAGAATTTGAAAGAAATCACCGCCGGATCATGAGAAATATGGGAAAACAAGAAAATACCTCTTCTCCTAGGGAAAAGAGTAACTCTTCATCGACAAGCAGTTCGGTGAAAATCATGGAAATGTCTGATAAGGAATTCATCATTCATAAAAGCTAACAGAGATGAAAGAGAAGAGAGATAATGAACTGCTAAAGAGAAAGGAGAAAGAAGTTGACGAGTTCCAGGAGATGAGATG